GAGCGGGATCATCATCATCATCATCATCATCATCATCATCATCATCATCATCATCATCATCATCATCATCATCATCATCATCATCAGCATCAGCATCAGCATCAGCATCAGCAGCAGCAGCAGCAGCATCAGCATCAGCATCAGCATCAGCATCAGCATCAGCATCTCAGCATCAGCATCATCAGCATCATCAGCATCATCACCATCAGCATCATCAGCATCATCATCACCATCACCATCACCATCATCACCATCACCATCACCATCAACCATCACCATCACCATCACCATCACCATCACCATCACCATCACCCACCACCATCACCATCACCATCACCATCACCATCACATCACTCATCATCATCATCATCATCATCATCATCATCATCATCATCATCATCATCATCATCATCATCATCATCATCATCATCATCATCATCATCATCATCATCATCATCCGGAGCGGGGTCCTAGCGGAAATTGAAAGATTTGGCGAACATTTCCCGCCGATTTTGGGTACGCTAGGTTCCCGGGTTCCGGGTCCCGGGTTCCCAAGTTCCCGGTTCCAAATTCCGGGACGATTTCGGTGGCCGGCGGGGTTCCCGGGTTCCCGGGGTTCCTGGTCGATTTTCTTTTCCATCGGTCTCACCATCGATCTCATTAACCCCTTCTATCGGTCTCACCATCGATCTCAAAATCGATATCACAGGCGATATCACTGTAGATCGCACGAGCGATCTCGCGATCGAGATCGTTGAATCGACTTCAGTCTCGGTCTCACGATCGACCTTACAATCGTCCTCTATCGATTACACGATCGATCTCACTATCCATATTACTAATTTTGCAAACCATCAACTTATTGGGGTTTCTCTCTTGTGTAGTATCCGCCGATCCGGCGTGTGAGTTTAAGAAAGCTACAACCTGAGCTTCAGCTCTGCTGCGGGGGGGGGCCAGGGTGGCTCTGCCGGGGTAGAGGGGGGAGGAGGGGGGGGATCATGGGGTCCACCCTTTCTTCCCCCCCCCCGCGGGAATCCCAAACCGCCCCAAGACGGGCCAAAAGGGGGCCAGGAGGCCACCAAGACGGTCCAGGAGGCGCTCGAAACGGTCTAAGAGCGCTCCTGGACGCCCAAGATGGCCTGAAGACGGCCCAAGAGGCCTCCAAGACGCCTCGGACCCCCAAGAGGGCCTCAAGAGGTACAATAATAAAGTTGCTAATAGGTTTTGAAGCATTTTGACATTATCGCCTTTTCCGTCTTAGAAGCGCCGAAAACGGTCCAAGAGGCCCCCAAGATCGCCCCAAGACAGCCCAAGAGGCCCCCAAGAGGAGCTAAGACGGTCCAAGAGGGCCCCAATATAGCCCTGGAGGCCTCCCAAGACGACCCCGAGAGGCGCCCAAGATGGCCTCACCAGGGTGAATCCGAACGGGCCCTTCTAGTCCTCCACCCCAAGATGCCCCCGAGGCGCCCCCAAGGGGCCCCCAGAGGCCCCCAAGAGGTCCCCAAAAGGCCCCCAAGAGGACCCCGAGAGGCCCCCAAGAGGCCCCAAAGGCCCCCAAGAAGCCACAAGAACTAGGAGGCCCCAAGAGGCGCTGGCTCGCGTGCTGCCCGGCCAGAGGTGCACGGCCTGACTTGGTATTGCTCGGAAGCGAAAGCGATGAACGAAGAACCTTCCACCCGTCGCCGTCACCAGTCGTCGGTCGTCGGCCGTCGGCCGTCGGCAGCCGTTCGCCGTCAGTCGTCGTCGACGTCGACGTCGACGTCGACGTCGACGTCGTCGACGACGACGACGTCGTCGTCGTCGTCGTCGTCGTCGTCGTCGTCGTCGTCGTCGTCGGTTCGACGTCATTAACTCCTTCGTCGGTCGTCGTCGTAATTATCCCGCTCGTCGACCGTTGGTCGTCCGTTGTCGCCGTCATCGTCCATTTCAACAACAATAGCATCAGGAGCGCCCCGGATCGGCGGCACTGGCCGGAGGCCACTACAAATTATATATATATATATACACACATGTAGACACATCTGTATACATACGGGGAAGCAGCGGATCATACAACTCTTGCACACAAGAACAAGTCCTGAAGAAAAGGGGTCCAGAACCCTGGGGCTTTTCCCGTGAGTGGTTTCTCGTCCGACTGCTTTCTGAGCCGGAAACGGGGACAAAACTCCGGACTCTTTTCCCGAAGGGCTCCTGTGACCAGCGGTGGGGGACTACAGGGTCGCGAGTAGTGGGCAGCGCAGGTCGCAGGTGGCTTTCCCGAAGGGGTGCATGCAGGTCGCGGGCGGGGGGCACAGGACGGGGCGCGAGGCAGGTCGCAGACTGAGGAGGCGGATGTGGGGTGGAGGGATGGAGGAGGAGGGCGGGAGGGGGAGGGACGAAGGAGGATGGGGCAGAAGGGGAGAAGGAACAGCAGGACGGAGGAGGCCGAACCCCCCCAACCCAACGTTGTGTCCGCAACCCTTCGGCAGGAGGGGGAGTAGGCGGACATGGAGAATAAGCGTGGATTGGAAGTACAGGGAGAACGATGACCAAGAGGAGGGAGATGGGGCGTCGGACGGGAGCGGCGGAGGGGAAACAGGAGGCGGGGGGGGATGGGGAGCGGGGAAGGAGGAGGTATGCCGAGGAGGAGGCGGAGGGGAAGCTGAGGGGGAGATAGAGGGAACGCGTGTCCGAAACGGGCGCTCGGGAGCGAAATGGACGCAACACACATGTTGGAGGTTGCTAAAAATGGTCTTAGCCCAAGAGCCCCCCCGGAACTCCTGCACTCCTGCCATCGTGGGGGAGGAAATCCGCTTGGGTCTACTTCGGGCCAACGGCGGCCAACCGAACTCCTGCCAAGAAAAAACGCGCGTACAATCGGGACTGAATGGTCGCAGGCTGCCGAACTCTCGCAACACTGGGTCAGGCTGTCGTTCCATATCAGCCGGGGCTTGTCGCGGAAAGTTCCCCCAGACCAAGGCGGGCGGCACCGCGGGCGCAGCCAGCTCGGCAGGCGACCGCTCGGGGCGCTGATGACCCCAACAGAACCCGCGATGGTCCTAACGGGCTTCGAGCGCCGCACCTGATGGCCCCAGGACAGCCCCAGATTGCTCCAAGGCGGCCCCAGATCCCTAATACGGCTCCACAAGGGCTTCCAGGTAGCCAACAACTTTGTTTCCCCAAAAGCTAATTTCCAACCACCCTGTGGTGCTGGGTCCTCGTTTTGAAGAGACAGTGCCCCGCGGCACTCACCACTCCTGCCTCCTCCTCTCCCTCCTCCCTTCTCCCATCCCTACCTTTGCCGCCGCATGTCAATAATTTCGGCCCACCCGTCGTACGCCTCGTGGCCCCACAAGGACCTCAAACGAAAGCCCAAATGTTAGCGTTCGCATGGCGGCACTGCGCCCATGCCGCCACATCCGTCACGCGTTTCGTGGCTACCCATAGGGACCTGCACCGAAGGCCCCCGTGGCTGCGTTCGCATGGCCGCACCGCACGATTTCGTCACACCGCTAACACGTTTCGTGGCCCCATGGGGGGCTCCACCACAGGCGCCACTGGCCGCGTTCGTATGGCGGCGCCGCACCCATGTCAACGTTCCGTGGCCTCACTGCCTGCGCTCGCATGGCGGCACCGCGCCCATGCCGGCACACCCCTCACACGCTCCGTGGCCCCGTGCGCGTCCGCATGACGGCACCGCGCCTACGTCGGCACAACCCTCACACGCTTCGTGGTCCCATAATAGAAGCTGCACACATGGCCCCAGTGGCTGCATTCGCATGGCGGCACCGCGTCCATTTCGTCACCCTCACGTGCTTCGTGGCTCAGTAGGAGTTCGAACGACAGCCCCAACGGCTGCGTTCGGATGGTGGCACCGCGCCAATGTCGGCGCAATCTCGCAAGTTTCATGGCCACTCACGGAACTCAGCCGACGGCCGTGGTAGTTGCGTTCGCAATGGCTGCACCGCGCCCATTTCGTCACACCCCTCACACGCTTCGTTGCCCCCTGGGGGGCTCCACCGACAGCCCCGGTTGCTACGTTCGCATGGCGGCGCTGCGCCAATTTCGGCACACCCTTCGCTCGTTTCGTGGCCCCGTGCAGATAGAGCTCCACCGGAAGCCCCACTGGCTGCGTTCGAACGGCGGCACCGCCATCATTACTCTGGCGCACACCTCACGCGCTTCGTGGCTGCGTTTGCATGGCGGCACCGTACACATATCATCACGCCCCTTCACACGTGTCGTGACTCCTAGGAAGCTCCATTGAAGACCCCACTGGCTGCATTCGCGTGGCGGCACCGCACCCGTTTCTACACACACCACATCTTTGCTCCACCGAAGGTCCCAGTGGCTGCCTTCGCATGGCAGCATTGCGCCATATTCGGCACATCCCTCACACGCTTCGTGGCCCCAGAAGGAGCTCCAACGAAGGCCTCAATGGCTGTGTTCGCGCGGCGGCACAACACCCGTTTCGGCACATCCGTCATACGTTTCGTGGTCCAATGGAGAGCTCAACCGACGACCGTAAAGGTTGCGCTCGCATGGAGGCTCCCATGTTGGCACGTTTGAGACGGAAGGAAGCGACGGCCCTCGCCAAGGAAGGTGGCTTCACCGCTTTCATTTGCGAGACTTAATCTGACGAGCGGCCCGCCCGAGCCTCGCCTGTGACCTCGCGCCGCGGACGACCCGCGCGCGTCGGTCGAATCGTCTCGGGGCGACCAGCACGTGTCGTGAGGGTACCCCAACGCTCTGCTTGCAAGACCTCCCCGACACCCGCGTGGTCTGCCCAACGCCTCGTCCATTGTCAGCCGCCCGTTTTTTCTGCTTGTGCCGCGGACGACCCGCGCGCGTAGCGGGGACTCCGCACTGCGCGGCTCAGAGCCGCGGCCACCAGGGCGCAAGGACAAAGAGGGAATCCATACGAAGGAAGGACGAGGACACAAAACGGCGGGGCCCGGGGCTGGGGCCATGGAGAGGGCGAGAACGCAACGCACAGCGGAAACAAACGGACGGGATGAATAGCCGGGAAGGAAATCGACACGAAACAGCGGCGCCAAGGGTTCGCGCGAGACCATGGCGACTTCCCGCTCGCCCGCGTCCGCTTCCCCACCCATCCACGCTGCAGTCGCCGGCCCCCCATCCTTCATGTCATGTGCATCGCGATATCCACAACTACAAAATATGGGTGGTTCCTTCCCCAGGACAGTTTCGGGCTGCCCCAAGCCCACGACGGCTCAATTGGCCCCCACGATCGTCGCAGAAGGCCCCAACACGTCCCAAGACAACCCGAACACGGCCCAAAGACAATCACAAGACAGAGATACCAATAGAGCTCCAAGATGGCTCCAGAGGGCCCGTTTCTGGTATTCCCGAATGGTTTCCCCAAACGCTGGGGGAACACGCCGTCCCGTAGCACGACGGCACCGTCGTTCGACATTTCACCACACAAGCATTTCCAAAGGCAGGGGGTGGCGGTGATTAACTGGAAGCGTCTTCGATTAGCGTGGCGCGGCACTATGTTACGCGACTGCCGATCACATAATGTGTTGTCTTGCGTTGAGACTTTCGCGCCCCCACCACAACTGGTAGGGAAAAGCACCAATCTCAATATGCTGGCCTACTGTGTGCGGATGGCTGCTCACACAGTTCACACACATCTGTGCCCAGTGTGCACAGTCCATAATGGCAACATGCACGTACCCAATACCACTGATACCAACACGCAAATGAGTGGCAACCGACGACGAGCGCGCACACGGGCATGAACATGTTCGGTTGCTAGTTCGAAGTCTGAACGATAGAGGCAACACTCAAACATGACCCCCGCTCGCAATGAATGAAGCAAGTGGTTTCCTGCGCCCCAATGAGGCGCCAAATGGGTGGCAGGCCCCGCGGCCTCAGGCCAAGAGCGTTTCAAAATGGCCGACGTTGGTCCCAAGACGGCCCACTAAGCGCCCAAGACGCTCCAGGAAGGATCCAAGAGGACTTCGAGAGACCCCGAAGAAGCAACATTCAATGAATTTGCTTGCGGTTTCTGACGATTTTGGCGGTACCGCCTGTGCGAGGTGCCGACCGGCCAGGACGGCCTAAGAGGCGCCCTAATCGCTCCAGAACGGCCCAGAAAGCCGCCAGAAGAGTCCCCAACTGGCCCGGCCCCCAAGAGCCACCCAAGAGGCTCCAAAAGAGACCGCCCAAACCCCCAACAGGCCACCAGGAAGCTTCAAGAGGCCCCTCAGAACCCCCCGAGGGACCTCCCAGAAGCTTCAAAACTGCTGCCCAGAAGCTCCCGAGAGCCCTCCGAAGATACCCTAAAAAGCTTCCATGAGGACTCTGACCCGCAACCCAGGTACGTCTCGAAACTCTGCTGGAGCTCTCCTGAGCCGTCTTGGCGCCCTTTGGGACAGTCGATCCGCTCTCTCCGGCAAAGAGCGAACAACATCTCGGAATATCTCCTTGAAGACACTCCTGCCTGCCCTACCGTTCCGCCTGGGCACGAGTACACCACCACGCAGCCACAGTGATCCGAAATAGGCCAGCAGACTGAGCGAAACGAGTAAGGGACGTCCGTTTGGGACTGAAACCGTCCAAGAGTAGGCAGGCGCAGCGGCTGCAGGTAAAGGAGTGCGATCGCACCACTAGTGCGGAAGACAATACGGTAGCCAAGAAATATACAGCCACCTCCACTTCCGCTCGTGTCTGAAATGAGTAAGACAGACAATCATTAACGGCAATGAAGAAAGACCCTGCGAGAAGTGGATTGTGACGGGCGCGGTGTCCTCAATCGCCGAATACATGCATCGCGATGGTGTTCGTCCCACAACTGCTTCCAAATATCACACCCACAAGGCACAAACTAACTCTCACCACCTGTGAGAGATCGTGTTCCGTGGACGCTTAAACACCTTGTCACGTTGGAACCGCCCCCCCAACCCACTCCAAAAAACAAATTCAGCGCCCATGGTGAAACGGCCCCCCATGCTGGACACCGGCCTCTCTAACCAGCCCGACCCCCCCTTCCAAGGGGTGGGTGTCGAACCGAAGGACCCCCCCCTGAGTTGCAAAGGTGGGAGCGTTCGAACAAGCATGAACCGGCCCA